TGGTTGTTTTGCTTGGTTTTGCTTTGTTTTCAGGTTACTTTACTTCCAGTGCATCAGGGCAGCTGGGCGGGAGCAGGGGTTTCGGCAGAGCGGTGGGCTGCTCTTGGTGGTGACGCTGGGGGTCTGGGGTCCCCGGGGACCGGGCCTCCCCCTCCAGAGGGTCAGCCAGCAGGCACGGTGGTGGAAAGGTTTGGGGAAGTGAGGTTGTTTGCCTGCTTCACCCTGTCACGGATGTAGGCTTGTGCCAGCAGTGGCTATCCGCTGTTGATGGTGGTTATCGCTTCCTTGTAGTCTGTGAAGCGTGGAGGCTGCTCCCGGGAGCCGATGGGTGAGATGGCCTTTTGCCCCAGGCCCACCCTCCTCTGGCATCCTACTAGCTGGGTTCGCAGCCCTGGAGACCTACCCTGCGCTTCAGGTGTGGTGGTTGCTTTGTCTTGGCGCCGTCCCGCCGGCTGGGGGAATGCCTCTGTAGGGTTCGGTCTGGGAGCCAGCAAAGATCAGGAGCGAGGGATCCTCTTTCTGGAACGTTTAAAGATGGATTTTTGACCCGGGCTAAAGGAATAGTGTTTCTGCTACATTATAAATGGCCAAACGCCTTGTCCTATAGCCATGTCTTGTCCAGAGTCAGACTTACGCTGTCTGTATAGCTTTACACAGCGTCTGCTTTGAAATGAGGGCTTCATCCTTTTGATGGGAAGCCCTGAAACCAGTAGTCAAGGTATCATTTCCTAAAACTACCATGAGATCATCTTTGCACAAACAAACCCAAGCTATCTCAGGTGGCACTTTATTCTAAAATTCAAATAACTTGTCTCCTCTCTGCATCTGTGATTCTACTGCATTTTGTTTCTTGTCTTAAAAACACTTCTGGTTTTTCAATATGTTTGAAATCTGCGTAGGTGAAATCTATATAGGAGAGGATGGAAACAACATCCATTTGACAGCTCCCTTGCTCAGTTTAAAGGCTTGTTTTACATCATGGGACAGTCGAGTGGGACTTTCCAGGTGTTGCCGTGCTGGTGCAGAGCATACTGAATAGATGGGGACAGACACGTACGGAGCGCAGCAAATACTAGAGTACGCTCTCTGGATGCAAATGGGCTGCCGGAGCACACGCCTCGCCTGCGGTGACCTGTCTTTCTGGCTTTTCTCTGCTGATATTCAGTTTATCTACCTGTGGTATTTCCTCGTCAGCCCAAATGGAGAGGCCCTGGGAGTCAGCTTGCCCCCTCCCTGGGTGCCGCTCTCGGGTGCCCAGCGGAGCGAAGCCTGCAAGCCGCCAGAAGCTGTTTGTGAGTGGACATTGTCCACGCCGGCGTTTTGTTGGTACAGTTGCAGCTGGTACAGCCACAGCTGGTGCTAACCTGGTTGCAGGCAGCGCGTGGGCAGGGCAGGTCTGCCTGCCTGCCCTCAGCCTCTTACTGTGCTTGAGCTCGCTCCGTATAATTGACCAGTCCTTAATAAATAGCACCACTGATTGCTTGAGTTTTTAATTTTGCAGCCTGCCTGCCCTCTCCTCCCCAAAAACCACACCAATCATGCTTCAGCTTTGTGAGGACGTGCTGGAAGGGTGGTGACCGTGGCTGTTGGCTGGGCAGAGCCTGGCAGCCGGTGGGGCTTGGAGCAGCTTGCTTTGAGGCAGGGGGGCTTATCCCCACACAGGTTGTCTGATGGGACCTGTTGCATTGAGCAGGGCCGGGGCTCTCCCAGCTCTAATCACGCTTCGTGTCCCTGTCTACCCTCGTCCTGTGCCCAGACATCTCCATGGACTTCCAGACACGAACGTGCCGTATGCATGCAAAAGGCAGCTGGGGGTGTAGATGCTGCTGATTAAAGACTGCTCCCTTCTGTAGCTCCTGTGCATGAAAGATGGCTGGGCTTGTAGGGGATCGCAGCCAGCTCTTGTCTGTAATAGCCCACGCACTGCGCTGGCGTTGCAGCCAAGGAGCGTTTGCTTGAAAAGCCCCTTTTGTGGTCTCTGCTCCTTGCTGGCCCAGAGAGCAGCATAACCCTGGCGTGGGGACCGCAGCTGGACAGCTCGGGCCACGTGCTGTGGACTTCTCGCTGTCCTGCCCGGGGCTCACCCTTCCCCGTGGCCTCGCCTGGCCCCGTGCGTTAAGGTGCTGCGAGCGCTGCTCCCTCGGCTGGACCCTGTGGGTGTGTGGCCGGGGCAGCCCCTACGGCGAGGTGGGGCGGCCACACTCTTCCTCCACGAGCAAATCCTCCGGTTGGCTTGCATGGCTGGTATTTCTTGCTTTCCTGTTTCCTCCTTTCCCTGTTGGATTTGCAGGGTGCCCGGAGGCTTTAGCTTGGTAATTTGCCAGGGAATTAAACCCATGATTACCGTTCCTGTCTCTTTGCAGCGCCGTGGGTGCAGGCCGGCGCGCGACCTGCTTTGGGGCATGAATCGTAGTTCCTGCTAGGATTAGGTTCCTCTTGGCATGAAGTACATCCCAAGGCTCCGGTCCTGCCTGAGGACTGTTTTCCTCTTTGGCATCTTTCTTCAACTCAGTTGGGTCCTCTGTGTTTCCAACACAACCCTGTGCAGCATTGGGGGAAGGCAAGTTAAACCGCGCTTGCTGCTTTATTCTCTGATAGAAACGAGGAACCTGCATCTGAAAGGTGCCACGATTTTTCCCCACTCCAGGGAATTCCAGAGTAGAAAAGGAGCATCTGGGAGGACTCGGCAGAGATGTGAAGACATCTTCTTCTGCTCCCTTACTGAGTGTTAGGAACCTTGTTTTCGGGTGGGCGGCAATGCCTTGGCTCCGCTGTCTCCGTGCAGTTTTGTCCCCTTCTCAACCCTGGTGTGACGTTTCTTTTCCATCCCCGAGTTGCAGTCTGGCTGGTTCCTTGCTGACAATAACACTAATGTATAATTTTGCAGGTGAAATTATCAGCAGGCTGGGGGTGATCTGTAGGCATAGCTGGGCAGAGAGATGGATGGAGGATCTAGTTAGTCCAGATGGCACTTTGAATAGCTGTTGTCCTCTTGCATGACCTTCCAGCCTACCCTAGGGCTGTTCTCGCTATCCCAGCAGCCTTTCTTCCAGGTAGGAAAATCTTTAGACTTTGGAAGGTAGGTCTGAAAGCAGAGTGAGGTTTGCAGCACATGAATTTTCATCGCGTTGCGTGTCACAGGAAGGCAGTGTGTTAGGCAGTACGTGTGTCCTGAGCTGGGTAAGACCGATACCATCAGCCCGTGCACTCAGCAGAGACAGACAAGGGCACAGCTCTTGCCTGTTGGCACCATAAACTGCGGCTGGGGCCCGGAGCACCCCTGCGCTACCTGCACCCATCTGTTCTGCGCTGTTGCCCCAGGGTTTGCTGCTGCCTACTCCACCGTCTTTTCTTGTGCCATCAACTTTTCCTCCTGACCTTTTCCTCCTCCTCCTCAGTGTCTCTGGTGATCTGTCATCTTCAGAGCACATCTCGCAGAGCATAGTTTAAGGCATCTTTTAGTGCTTTCTGGCTCCGGGTGATGGTTTTGTAGCAGGGGTGTGGGCGGTTCTGGCTGGAGGAACAACACGGATCACCATGTACCTAGTGGGACTGGGTTGAGAAATCAGGGACGCAAAGAGCTCCTCTCCTTAAAACTCCTGTGTGCTTCTGTGGGTGGGTGTAGCCCTGCAGCCTGCCCCCAGCAGCCACCCCAGCAACTGCTGTGCTCTCTCCCTTTCAGACTCCCTGTATGTCTCCGAGTACTTCTCTCAGAGCGCGCAGAAGCTGTCCTTCTACAGCTGGTATGGGAACGCCAAGCTCTTCCACTTCCATGTACCAGAAGACACCGTGCTGCTTCGCTGGCTCCTGCAGGCGTCCCGGGGGAAAGGACCCGAGTGCACCAACATGGAGATCACAGTGTATGTATGTCGCTGTGCCAGTGCTTGCCCACATGGGCTTCCTGTCCTTCTCTTGTCCTTGTTGCTCATGGCTGTGGTTGGTTTGTTGTAGGAGGCTGGGCGTCTGTTCCCAAGTTGCAGCAGCAGTAGTTTCCTAATGTACTAGCACTAAATCTGTGTTTAAACCTGTAGGAGCATTTCGTGTTCACGTTACCAGTGGGTCTGGGGCTGTCTATCAGACGTGATGTCTAAGAGATGCCTTAGAAACACTGGAGAGAGCTTCACAGTGAGGCTGGTGTTGCTGCTCGTGAGCAAAGGTGTTCCTGGACATTTCTGTGCCTGGCAGGATCCTGTGCATGGTACCAAAGGATGTGGCAGGACTGCAAGGGGCTTCAGAGGACCCAAACCTATTGGAGACAGACAAATTCCTCAGTACAGAGGAACTGAAGAGACTGGAGACACTTTTTGAGAGGGATGCGGGCTGTGTGTGCAGCAGAGGGAGGAGAGGAATGCTGATCCCTGCAGACCCAAGAGCATGAGAAGGTTGCAAACTCAATGCCAGTGAAAGAAATGTAGCTTAAAGCAGTACTTGAGTTGTTGGGGATTTGAGGTCAAAAACTTGCAGGTGGGGCAAGACTTTGAGCTGTATCTTGGGAGGGTCCCAAGTTTTCTGGGCAGGTTGTGCCCGTAGAGACACGTGGGTCTCTGGCACCCGCTCCACGGAGGTCTTGGCAGTGACTGAAGTTTGCTGCTTGGCTTGCGCTTCCCTGGTCTGTCCTGGGCACAGACAAGTGCTCTTAGTTGCTCCAGAGCAGCCTGGATTTTCCTCCTTTCTGCTTCCCAGAAAGGTTTCCAATAGTTTAGGGATGTGAGGGACAAGGCAGCAGCTAAACGATACCCTAAGAAATAAAGACCACCTAAGCTCAAACGGATTAATAACACATCACCTATCACGTTTGCTTGCTGGGCCTGTTGTGTCCGTTGTTCTGTTGCAGTGCAGTTCAAAAGCAAGCAAATTAAATGCTAAATTGGCTGCCCAAATAAATATCTCACATATTACTTGGCTGCTTGCTTTTCTGCTACTTTGAACGTTGGGCTCCTTATCTGGAAAGCAGAGGTGCTGGTGTACTGAAGTCGGTCACACGGACCTTCCTTGGTAAGCATCTTTTTAGTCTGTCTGCCTGCCCTCCTAGAAGAGGAAATAGGGAAGATGCAGATCTTAGCTAGAAAATGAAAGCTCTTCCTTGACGATTTAGCCTATATGGGGGATTTGCTGATGGTTATAAAAAAGGAGTAGTCTTGCGACTGGGGCTTAACCTTAGTAAGTGTTGTGGAAATTTGCTTTCAGGCTTGATGGAACCATCTAAATCCTTATCTTAATAAGCAGCCAAGTTAAACCAATCTCTAAATAAATCCCGCGTAAGCTAATAGCAACCAGTCCTCACCAGATGAAAATGATGGCTCTGTGGTCCACTTGAAAATGTGGGATTTTTCCAGCCTGCTCCCTCTGCCATCTCAGGCCAGGCTGGGTGTCGACTGACGAGTTTGTATCCCAGTTTAGTTTGCCAGTGTCTTTACAACCCTCTGTTTATTCGCATTCTGGTTTCTTTTGCAGGCACTTTCGCTACGGAGCCCCTCCTGTAATTAATCCACTGGGCACTCGTTTTCCTGCAAATGCAACCGTCCGTCCTTCCTATAACATAAGCATCACTCTGAGCAGCGCTGTGCAAAACACCACCTTTGTGAACGTCACTACCCCTGCTGCCGGAGACTGGTTCATCGCTGCCCATCTCCCTGAGGCTGCTGGCAGGATTGAAGTGAAGGTGAGAGTCCTGGTGAGGGTCTCGGCCGTCGTACTCTGCCCAGCGTGTCTCGCCACAGCTGACCCATCCGCTCTCCTCTCCTGCAGGGTTTCTCCACTCCATGCCCCTATATGTTCCAGGCAGATATGTTTGTCCTCAGACTCACTGATATGCCAGTTCTGGAGCCTGGTGTTGCCACGCCACAAACCATCGTCTCGCCTGCTAAGCCGCTGCATGTCAAGTGAGTGAGAGCAGTGGATGGAAAGCGTTGGGGCCATGGCGGGGTGGGGTTTCCCATGGGTGCTGCTTAGGGGAAGCCACTGTTGTTCCCATGTGGGGCTGGAGCTGGGGGGTCTCCAAGCCTGTTTGCCGAGCTCCCTGCAGCAGTGGTAGGGTTTGCACGGGAAACACACGAGTGCCCTTATCCAGCTCTTTCCAGGTGGTCTTACAGGTTCAGCTGCAGGAATTTTAGTTCTTTGAGATGTTTCCCTCGGGAAGGATTTTCACAACACCAGACAGAGCAATCTAGTTCTTGCCACAAAGCCGCAGGGACCACGGTGGGTCATGGCTGGCTTGTGTTGAGAGTACAAGCTCTGCAAACTGCTGGTCCCTCCTCCTGCAGGGTCTTCGTTCCCAAGCATGCCGCAGGGATGCGGTTTGAGCTGCGAAGCTGCGTGACAAGTGAGCAGAAAGCGTGCGCCATGCGGGTAGCGCTGGGCTCCATCACACTGCCTCAGTCCTTCCAGAGGATCGTCACCTGCACGGGGAACGTAAACTGCAGCCTGGCCCTGGACTCGCCCCCCTGGGAGAAGTGGCTGCAGATCATGGTGGAGAGTCTCGGCGCTGCCAATGCCAGTGTGTCGGTGGAGATGCTGGCTTCTTTCACAGGCGGGCTTCCACTTTCTCTAGCCCTATGGGAAGGACTAGAGAGAACTTTGTGTCTACTGTGTCTCTCTTGGGCCTTTGGGAGGCTGGCTGTAGTGGCCTGCGTTCCCCAGCATGCTGGTTGCCTGGGCATAACCTTGGGGGCTGAGACCTAGTTGTTGCTTTGGGGTCAAAAGTGAAGGCTCCAGTGTTCACCCAAGAGGGATATTCCCTGGAGCTGCCTGAAAAGTTCAGGGTCTCTGAAGCGATGATATTTTCCAAAGGCTGTTTGGGAAGCAGTGGCTGGCTTAAAATCTGGTGGGGAGAATAGTTTTGGGTAGATGCACCAGACTGTAATGATATGTTGACTATCGATTGTCCATAAGCAGGCTACAGACAGGAAACCATCTCACAGAGGTTTACTTGGGGTAATGTCTTGGGTAGTAGTGAGGGGTGTCACCATTTCAGGTGACGCCTTGTGACTCAGGAGGTCACAAAGTCCTTGTGGCTGTGATAGGCACCTTTGCATCCTCTTATTACATGACCATAATCCCTGTTTGACTCCTGGAAGCTCACCAAATAGGTACATTTTTAAACTTTTCTTCTGCTGGGGGTTCTACCATCCCCTCCTCAAAGCAGAGGCTCATCCCATGTGCTGGAGGGCCTGGCACTGGCAGCCAAGCTGTTAGACTAGGGTCTCTGGGAGCGATGGACAGGCTCCAGCAGTGGGACTCCAAGAGTCACATTCAGCTCCATGTGCCATGACGTGATGGCTTGTGCCTGTAGCTACACTGGGGTAGCTTCTCTTTTCTGCTCAGCCTTGGCTGCTCACGTCTGGGGAACTGGTAGAGACTTTTATGCAGCCTGTAGTTAGGGGACAGCTAAGTGCTCACTGCCACTGGCTAGTGAATACTCCCTGGGTACGTTGATGTGTTACGATGCTGTGCATTATTCCTTCTTCTGTTCCCCTCCCCTTCCCTGCAGCTCCAGGGTGCTTCCACCCACTGTACCACTGACAGGCTTCCATCAGTGTCCCAACTTGTGGATGCTGATGTTAGAGTTCCCCCTGCAAAGATGGTGCGTTTCAGGGGCTGTAGCCCATACTGCAGTGCATGAACCAGCTGAAATACCCCCAGTCTGTGCTGTCACTTGAAGGTCTGGAGCTGCTGGGGCCCTGCTGGGATGAGGTGCTGGTCCTGGCTGTGCTGATTCCTCTCCTTTTTTTGCTTTACAGCTTGCAGGCCAGGAAGTACCAGTTCATTCCTTAACTTCAGCAGCCTAAACCAGAGCCAAACTGGTCCCAGACCAGGTAGCGCAGGAGCAGCAGGGAGCTCCACTCTGTCTACCGGAGAAGCTTCACGCAACGCGTCCGACCAGAGGAGCTTCTGTCTGCAGAACCAGCCCGTCGTTCGTGAGGACCTGGATGTGGTGTCTGTGCGCTACAGGCTCTTGAATAGTCCCAGCGTTCCCGTGAACTCCCTCTCCCCGACCCTCCTCCTCCTCAACCTGAACACTGGCATGGACAGCGGGGGTTCCCTCGTGGTCAGTCTCCTGCTTAACAAGGTGCGGAGACTGATTGATGGGATTGTCTCCCCTTTGCAGGGCTTTGTCCCTGCTCCTGGGCTGGTTTGTCAGCAAACTCCAGGGGTTGTAGGTACCAGTGGGACTATTTCTCTTTCTTTTTGTTGTCACAAAACACTCTGAGCCTGTTTTAGCTGCTTCCAGCATGTCCCACCTGCCAGCTCCAATGCAAATGCCACAGCTTGCTGGCATGTGGTGGCAGTGACGCAGAGGAGACAAAACGGAAAGCAGCTGCAATGCCATCTTCTCCACGGGAGCCTGGCACCTTGCCACCAGGAGAGGAGACTGAGCAGGGAAACCCAGGGATGTTCCTGCCCAAGTCGCTGATTCCCGAGCTCCTTCAGTGACACCCCAAAATCAGCCCCCTGAAATTCTATGAAACTTCCTGAGGGCTGGAGCAGGGCTCAGCCCTGACGTCCTGCTCCCTCTGACTTCTGCCACCCTGTGCTCGTGCTGAAGCGATGTCTCAGTGTCCCAGCTTTGGGGCAGTTCCCCCCATGCAGTCCCCCAGGAGGCTCTCTTGCCTTTCAGCCAGCGTGTAACGCGGTGGCAGTGTAGGGTGCGGTGAACACGGGTTTGCCCAGAAAGAGCTGCTGAATTGATGGGTGACCTTGATCTGCAGGATTTATTGTCACCTGCTGCTCCCGTGTACCGCGCGGGAGATGAATTGTGCAGGGGGGTGGCATCGGGGCGCTCTGACGTGGGACACTGCTCTGTTTGCACAGACGACCGTGAGCCTGGCCAATGCCACCGTGGTTGCGTGTGTGAGTGCTGCTTCTCCGGTGCTGTCCCTCAATGCCACACAGAACTGCAGCACAGGTATGAGAGCCGCTGGCACCCGCCGCCAGCTCAGCTATGCCATCTCAGAGCTTTGCTTTCAGACCTTGTGAGCTATTAACTGACTCAGGACTTTGTGGGGTGTCCCAGGGAAGCTAATTTTGGCACAAGCCCTCCTGAGGTCTTCATGCTGGCATATGCCCAGGGGTGCAGATGCTAGTCTGGCACCAGGAGTTAGCCTCCACCAAAGGAAGGTCTGGTTACCAGCTGGGGCTCTTCCAGCCTCGTTGGCAGGAGGTTTGGGGATGGTCAAGGCATTGCTGGTGTGCAGAGAAGCTGAGCTCTGCACTGGAGGACTAGCCAAGCAAACAGGCTGTTCCGGGTGCCCTGTGCTGTCTAGACAGGTACCGAGAGCTGAGACAAAAGACAAAACAAGGGTCTCAGGAGCAAGGGTCTTCTCCATCCCCCCTGGTGCCTCCTGAGGACGGGAGCAAGGAGCCACAGGAGCATCTGATTCCTGTGCAACTGGTCTCAGCCTGGGATTGCCGAGGGCTCTTCTCCCCTAGTCCCGGCCCATCACAGCACCCTCTTTTCTTTAAGCCTTTTTCCAGGGCTACCCTCTGAGCGTGAGCACATCCTCTGCGGAAGCGATGCTGATTGTCCTGTACCCACAGACAGATGACTGGTTCCTCTCCCTGCAGCTCATCTGCCTGAAGGGCCAGGGGTGAGTCTGGTGTGTCATCCCACCTTGGGGCCAGTTCAGAGCACTCTGCCTCTGTGTCCTGCTGCCCTTGACTAGCGTGAGCAAAACCGAACCTCTGTCCTCACTGCCGTGCCGTGGGCTTGTCTCACCTGGTAGGGGTGAAGCCGTGGCTGCGAAGGGAGAAGGAGGCAGGTGGCGGTGCCAACTTGCTCTCTTGTGAGCACCCAAGCAGCTTGTCTGGTGCTAAGCTGGCATGTCTCATGCAGACTGCGGGTGGCAGAGCCTGTCTGGATGAGCTTCCCCTTCCTCAGGTGGATTTTGAGGTGATAAATTGGTAAAGGAAAATGCTGCTGTTACTCTTTCAAGGGGTCTCTGAAATGCAGGCAGTTGTGTCCATAGTCCTGCGGTTTACCTTCCTGATGGTTCCTTGCGTAAGGGGCCAAGCGCACGCTGTAAAACAGTACTGGCGATGCTGGGCTTGGGTACCAGGGCCTGCTACGGGGGTCTGGGGAGAGCTGACTCCTGCCTGTGCATCGGTTTGGCAGTCCGAGTGGAGAGGGAGCCGACTCTGCTCCTAGCTCCCCGGAGGGATGGAGCAGATCCCGCAATAGGGGGGAACTTGCATGCACGAGCGTGGCCTGACCCTCCGGAGCAGAGTGCTCCCTGGGCACAAGGCTGCCCCGAAGGACCGGGGTGCCAACGCAACCTGCTCTCCTTGCAGTGAATGTAATGCCGCAGAAGCCAAAGTGACTGTCTTCGCATACCTCACCCCCTGCTTCAATGACTGTGGGCCGTACGGACAGTGCAGCCTCCTGAGAAGACACGGCTACCTCTACGCTGGCTGCAGCTGCAAGGCTGGTGAGTGGATTTTCCTAGGAAGCTTTGCCATCCTTCCCAAGGAGAGGCCACGTTTTTCGGTGGTGGTATTTGGGTAGGGGAGCCTGGGGTCTGCCGTGACTGCCAGGGACAGCCTGAGGTTGCAGTGCCTGCCCAGGGAGCCCTCGGCACCCGCGGTGGCCTCTTTGGGAGCATCCTGACTTCCCCGAGGGGTGCTGCGTTCTGGGAAGCACAGAGCACCCCAGGGGAAATGGGGAATCAGGCTGAGGACAGCTTTCTGCTCAATGGTCATTTCGCTTCCAGCTTGGAGATTCCCAGGGCTTGGAGAGGTGCTTCTGAGCATCCCAAAGCGATTAGGGTGCCAGCAGGGCTGCCTGAAAGTGCGTCAGGGCCTGTGCCTTTAGGGCGGTTTGTTACATAGGGTCCGGATAAGGGATGGGATGAGGCCAGGCTGCAGTCCCTGTCCATGCTTTGCCACGGTGCTCTGTCTTCTGCCGAGAGCCAGCACACAAGGCCAGCCCTTAGACTCAGAGGTGCCCCTGGAGGAGGAACATCTGTGTCAGCTGCTAATTATCTTAATGGGATGAGAAGACTGGGCGGGAGTCAGTGGTGTA